TGTGACATCAGTGGTTCAACTGTAAAGTTACGAAGCTACGAGAATACTTTTTTGCACAAATAAAACAAAAATAACGACTTTATTCCACATTTTCGTCTCTACTGCGTCACTTTTGGGCGCGCGTTCATGACAGTATCATGACGCGAGCGTGTGGCGGCGCCGGCGCTGACCCAGATCCGGCATGATGACGTTATTATGCCGGATCTGGGTCAGCGCCGCCACACGTGGCAGTTACCTTGCTGTCTATGGGAGGGTCAGAGAGCCCTCAGATTTCATCAAAAATATCTTAAATTGTGTTCCGAAGATGAAAGAAGGTCTTACGGGTTTGGAACAACACGAGGGTGAGTAATTAATGACAGAATTTTCATTTTTGGGTGAACTAACCCTTTAAATACATTCTACATGTTACTTTTGCCTGAAAATAAATCTTAAGGTTCTTTGTGTATATTAAATAGAAAGCATTCAACCAAAAATTATTATTTACTGAATCTCATGTCTTTCCAAACCTGTATTTCTTTCTTCTGTGGAACACAAAAGATAATATTGTATGCAACTGTTTTTGTCTATAAAATGAAAAGTCAATAGTCTAAAACAACATTAAACACAATTAATGACAAAATATTCATTTTTGGGTGAACCATCACTTTAAGAACTGTTTGATGAATATTCATGTGAATATAAATCAAAATCTGTTCAACTTTGGTGCCTATGTGCTCTAGTGCCAGGTTTGTTCACTCTAAAAGGTGAAACTTGAAAAATGTCTAAAACATCTATCCATGCAAAGGATTACACCATGGCTGTCCAAACTCGGTCCTGGAGGGCGGGTGTCCTGCAGAGTTTAGCTCCAACTTGCCTCAACACACCTGACTGGAAGTTTCTATGCCTAGTAAGAGCTTGATTAGCTGGTTCAGGTGTGTTTAATTAGGGTTGGAGCTAAACTCTGCAGGACACCGGCCCTCCAGGACCGAGTTTGGACAGCCCTGGATTACACTAAGACCACCGGCTTTTCAAAAATCCTTCATGAAAAATACAAAAAAATTAGAAAACAAAATATTTAAAATAAAAATACATATTCATTATGTGCATTTCACTACAAGGTGTTTCTGTTTGCTTATAAGTGCTATCCTGATTGTCAGTTAGTGGGAGGCCCTTACTCTTTGGCCATGAAGCTTTTTTATTTTTAGAAGTAATTAAGCGAAGTTGAAAAGAGAAAAAATATTTGGCAGCAAAATATGGAGTATTCTGCATCTACCAGCCCTTTAACATCTAAACTCATGACAGTACTCTGGTCCATAACCCTCTGGTCATTGGCGGGTTGGAGGTTGACAGGAAACATTGTGAAAAAATTTCCTCCGATGACCCACTGAGATGGAGCTACGCCAAAACCAGCCACTATCATCTTCCCCATGAAATACACAAATAGCCTCCTTCCACAGATGACTGTTTTAATAGCAACTGAATATAACTGAATCACACCAGCAAAGTAAAACAATGGAATATCTTCATTACTCTGGACCTTTCCCTGTAAACCCGAAATTTATGCTCCCACCCACATCCCATCACAGAGGGAAGCGGAACCCCTCTGAATAAAATCACTGGCGCCCCAGTAGTTTGGACAGAAAGCCTGAAGAAGGTTTGCTAGGTTTAGACGTTTCTGCACGGCTCGCCCGGTCCAGCCCCAACTCGCCTTCCAGCTGTTCCAGCTCTGACTGGTCCAACAACTCAAAGTCCTCTGCCTCGCTATCCGATTCCTCGGCCAGGGCCTGGACCAGCATTGGCGCTACCACCGCCTCCAGGCGTTCCTGCATGGCCGCGGTTACTGCTGCCGTGATTACGTCTCCAGCCAGCCTCTGCACAACCTCCAGGGCCTGGGCAGCTGGGTCCTCGTCTGACTGTGTGGACCCGACCCTGCTGGGATGGGCTGGTGGGGTGGGCATACCAATGCTCAGGTCTTCATCGTCATCTCCATTTGTCCCCAAGCCATTGTCCAAGGAGGGAAACTCTGGTAGTCCACCTGTGAAGACCTCCTCATCACTTCGCCGGTCTGAGTCTGTGTGAAATATATAAAATAAATACAGAAAACATAAAAAAAAATACTGCTTGAATTGAGATATACACATTCAACTGGAGCACGATTTGGTCTAATATCTATTATTTAATGCCTAAAAACTATATTTTAAGTTTTTAATGTTTTAGACATTACAGACATACATACTTTCATTGTAATGTTTTAATATACAAAGAACAGCTATAATACATAAAGAATGGCTTTCCAATATAGAAGCCTGACATTCATTCATTTCTTAAAACTCCTTTTTTATAATCACAACATGCTGATGGCTAACTGATTCCAGTATACTAATATTTATTTATTTATAATATACTAACATATAGTACACAGTAAATACCACAGTTCAAAAGTTTGGGGTCAGTATGATTTTTTCATGATACAGTCAAAAATATTTTTAAATACAGTAAAAACAGTAATATTGTGAAATATGAAATAACTTTTTGAATAACGTTTTGTATTTTAAAATGCAATTTTATTTTGCCTGTTTGCTTTGTTACATACGGTCTATCTGTATAATTTTTTATATTTAGACCTGCCAAATCACCCACATACTACACATACTTTATATCTACATATTTCTGGAAAAGGTAAGAGAGCTTACCTTCAGAGATTTCTGTCTGAGGTGTGTGTCCCTCTGAAAGGTTAAAGGTGCCATTGTCTGTCCATGTTATTTCAGAGACCTCTGTGTCTAATATAGACAGCTCTTTGCACATGGCGGAGTCCATCTGTAATAGATGCTCAATATCAGTTCACACACAGACAGGAAATAGACATATTATGTATATTATATTATTGTCATATCATGAAGCCCTCACAGTCTTTAGTGGCACATGATACCAGTATCTGGCGAGCCGTGTGGCAGCGCACTGACCTTGGGGAAAAGTGCAGACAGATCTGCTTCAATGCTCTCTCTCTTGGCTTGAGACTGGAGTATCCTTTTCTCTGGAGCATGGAAGGAATATGAGGAATGCAAGTCAGCCATGACTTTAAATATTTCATTCAAAACAGAATCAATAAAAATACTTCAGTGTAATCGAAAATAATGTAAAAAAAAAACAAAAAACATATATATATATATATATATATATATATGAATGTATGATGTAAATGTAAAAAAACAGAAAATGATTTATATGCTTATTAGAGTATTGCTTTGTTAACTTAGCAACATGCTAATGTCAAACTCCATTGAACTCAGTCACCCTTTAAGAGTGCTATATGTGTAGTGTGCAGAGATGCAGAGGTGTGCAGAGTTTCCATACAGCGTTATTTTTGTATTATTTATATACTATCATAGTATTTATTCATAGTTTGAAAATTGAGGTTAAACATTTACATTTAGCTTTAGTATTATTTTTACCTGTTTGCTTTAGGTTTAGTAATTTTAGTACTTCAATTTAAACTTTTTTTATTTCAGTTAATTGCCAAGGCAACAAACAAAGTTTTTCAACTAATATTTAATGTTTATTTTTAATAAAAATTATTTTGGGGGTCAACATTCAAAAATCCATTTCCTGATTACAAGCTATACTGGAAATAATGTAAAATTTAGTCATTTCCTGTGTGTATTTGAGATACATGTACCATGATTCTCTTTAATTTTCTGAAGAAACTCGCCCACTCCAAAGTCCAGTTTCTGCAGAACTGGTTCCAGCCACATCCCGAACTCATGTGACGACACCAAAGGCCAGAGAAAAATGCCCAGCACTGCAGTAAACAGATGTAGAAACTATTAATGTACGTGTCACACTTACTAGTGTGTTTATGAACCTGCTGACTGCTAGGAAGAAAGAGAAACCAGAGACTGAGTGAGAATATCGTCATGGTTACATTACTAGGAATCCACTATCACATGATAAACGGACTGTTGGATGTTCTGGAGTGTGCTGGAGGTAAATACAGGAAAGGCTATGCACAGCCTTAGCCAATAGTAGCATGGTTACAATCAGTTGTACAAAAGCTAAAATGAAAAGATAGGGCTAAAACTATTAATCACCATCTTTTTTGTGTATCTTAATTTGGCACTTACCTAAGATGTATGAAATAACAACCCCTGGAATGTAACGTCCAAGTATTGCCAAAAAAGAACACATACTGCACACCAGCAGACAGAACTGCAATGAGACACAAACCTAAAATGGCTCAGTTCACTGCAAAAGGATAGCTGACATAAAATACTTTTGGAAAGTTAATAACCTGCTATGTGACATGCTATACTAAATAATCTAAATCTATTTTAAATATCATTTTGCTAATTCTTTTAGAATTATTATACATGCAGCTTTTATGAGCTCATTATGAGACTACACGGAATAATTTTACATTGAAAACATTTATTAAAAATACTATATATATATATATATATATATATATATATATATACACACATCTCAGTGATCTTATAAATTAATATTAAGTCCACTGTCAGGCCATGAAAAATGAACTAGAGGCAAAATTGTGGTTAAAAAAAATTGTGAAAAATGTAGAAGAAATGGAGACATGATACCCAATATATATGTTTCCCTTTATACATTCATACAAATTTTAAACTACTAAATCTAGACTAAAATCTAGAATTTAATGTAAAAAAAAAGGTTACATTACGCACCAACTAAATCCGTCCATACCTTGCCTGGATTCTGTTGCTTAAAAGAGGAAGTCTCCTCAATGAAGAGCTTGAGGCTCGACCAGAAGTCTGTGAATGGAGATCCTGATCCAGATCTGCCCTCCTGGACAGAATCAATGACCTCCCAGCTACAATTAAAAGACCAATGAAATAAATGATCATTAATGTTAAACCAGAAGTAAAGATCGACCGTTTTTGAAAAAGCACTTATTAATTAGTTCATTAATTTAAACAATGTACACTTCTTTAATTATCACTGCATATCTGTTGAACACATATGCTGCTATAAACATATTTGTAGTGGCCTCTTCTCAACCTCTGGAACTGTGATATGACACAAACATTCCTTATGTGTCTATAACATTATAGCTATACAGTGTGTATACCTTTGAAGGCAGATTCTAGCACTATCAGAGCACACACTACATGTGTGAAATAGTTCACAGACTGAGTGATGACTGCAGAAATGTACAAGAGGATTCTTATAATATCTACAATGGGTTCATGAGATAACTGAAACAGAGGCGACCTGAGAATGCCTGATTTAGAAATGAGGGAATTACTGCACACTGAAAAACTTGGCTTCACTTATTTGAAGGTTCACCCAAGACTGATATTCAGAATTCATTATTGATATTCAAATTCTTGTTTTAAAAAAATATATATGATTACATATCAATCTATTTAGGTCCTTAACTGACAGCTTACATCGACAAACACATTTTTAAATTCAGAAATCTCTATTCTTCGAGTCCTCTAGGACTCTTTGATAAGCTTAAATCACATTTGATGTTACATGGAAAGTTCACTTTCATGGAAAGTATAATGTGAGTTAGCTTTAAATGCTTTAAAAATAAATAATGGGCAGCTAATAATAACATCAGATAAAAAGTCAAATAAATGTATTTGGCTTTGAATAAATTAGTATGACTTTCAGAATGGGGGGGATTTCTGGGCACAAGATAAGCATCTATTAACAGGCGGCTTGTTAATGCCCTTTATCTGTTGTTATGCGCCCCTACTCCTATCCCCTCACAGCTGTTGCCCTACATTTCCCGTCTCCAAAACAAACCAAACAATGCCACCTATATGTCGAAAACTTTTCAAAACACAATGTCCATCAAATAAACAGATCAACCCCAAACTTAAGCAAAAACATGCTACACATAAGCCATGCAATTAGGAACTCTTCTACAGATCAGCTCGAGCTGCATTTCCTCCGAAAGGTCATAAACCAGTCACCTCCACCATTACAGAGACATGTTTCCCCACCGGAGGTTTCCTATTAAACAGAGCGCATGGGGGGCATGTGACTATGAGGCAACGCAGCTCACATTAGCATTTCACCATCGACCATGTGGCAGATACAAGCGAAAGTGCCAGAGAAAGTGAGCTCAGGCTTGCCCAACCCAGACCAGAGCTGACGACTGGAGATCAATGAGGTGTAATGCTCACAAGCGTTAAGAGATTTCATCAGATGAGATCTTTTGGGAAATCTGCTTGTTGACTGGCGCCATGTGGTGTTTGATAGCTAACGCTATTTGAAATCATACCGCATGGCATGTTTGCCACTGGTAAATGTTACTTAATATCATGTGAAAACCAAATAAAGTTGGCTGCCTCAAGAAAGTCCTAAATCTTTTAAAACCAAAGAAGATGTGTAGAAAAGCCTCTAATGTCTCTGTAAATGCCAACAACAGGTGACTCTGGATTCTGAAAATCAAACCGCTAGACTAGCTGACTCCCATGCTAATCGCTAAAACAACAACGAAAGCTACTTGTCTGACACTCAAACAGACCCAGTGACAAAATAGCCCAAAACAAACAGCTGAGGAATGCCACTGAAAATCAATAGTCTCTTAATTTGTAAAAGTGTTAAAAGACCCTTGGGATTGCCAATTGCAATACTTTAATCATGTTTTTAGCTTATCTGTGGGTCTGTCCACATACACCTCATTCCACATGACCGACAGGTTCCATGGCTGTGTCGTGTACATGCACGTATCAATACCTATAAAGTCCTTGTGACAATTGACATGAACTTCCCAAATGTTCCAAAACAAGGGTCACCATGGAGACCACACGGCCCCAGATGCATCTGATGCATGATAACTGACATTTGTAATAATTTGGAACAAGCTCATATCTGAAACATAACATCTAACTGCGATGTAAGTAAGATTAAAGCACAATTTTTCAAAGACAAATATCACTTGATTAAAAAAAAAGTCACAAAATAAATGTGCAAGTCATCCAAGATATACAAAATTAGCCTCTTGGAGGTATAAATCACATAACACTGATTCTTAGTATTCAAAGTTAACAACCACTCTTTACAATACCAATTTATTCAATAGAGTATTTTTTTTTTTTTACCTCAGTGCTGATCCATGGTCTTCAGCAGTCATCTCAAAATCTCTAGGTTTCAACATGAAAAGCGTTCAGGTGAGTGTGAAGGTGAGTGTGTCAGTGATATGTTCCCGAGTTCAAATAAAGTGTTGCATGAAGCCACACGAGCTAGTGTTTATGTTGACCAAGGCCTGAGCTTCACTATTTCAACCGGTCAGGTCTAAAAATACCAGTCACATAGCATTCCACAAGCAGGCATCAGACAGACAGTGCTGGGGCATGAACACACACACGTACAAACACTCCACATAATACCCCCTCTTCACAGAATGAGACCCTCTCAGAAGAGTATTTTGAATTTTTTCTCAGTGAAAAATCTCCATACAGGTACATGCGCATCATAACAAAGAAACTCCCTGACATCACAAAAAATGTCTACCCTTTTCTCTCTCTGTTAATCTCACTGATTTATGATAAATTGATGTTTTGTTGTGAATGTTTTAAAATCTCATTATACTGAAAGAAATTATACATTCAATCACACGAACAATAAAACTCAAACAAATGATCAATAAAACTACGCTAGCAAACATTCAGACAAGAGTCAGCTATATAAGTAGAATTTAACAATGTTCTCAAGACAAGGGTATTTTTATAAATGTCCATTTGGAGCAGGTTGTCATTTTTTGTGTGTTTTAAAAAATATATATTTATATTTCAAGATTGTCAATTTGACGCAGGCTTTCACACTTTTATTTTATATTGTAGAAAAATATACAATTTATTAATCAAATATGTATTTTTCACAAATGTCCTTTTGGGACAGGTTATAACATTTTTTTTTTTTAATCAATATTTACATGTTTTAAATGGTCTAATTTATTAATGATAAATTATTACTAATATTCGTTGGCCAAAACAATGGTTTGCTATTTTTGTACATTTTACATTTTGGAGTAAAAAGTATAAAAACTTGCCTAGTCTCCCCAGTATATGAGACAGTAACAGTCGTCTTTTTTATTGATATCACCTCTTTATTTATTTAATTCTATCTATTATTATTATTTGGTCATTTGACTGTAATGAAATTACCATGACTTGTCAGTTGGTCAGCAAACAACTAATACAAGTCATCTAACCCTCACTCAGCCTTCCTCCGATGGGCCACTGAGTGTCCAGACACACCCTTTGTCTGTTAGTATCCTATGATGTGATTGGCTTCTCAGTTGGGACACTCCAAAATCCTCCCAATTAAAAATGGCAAGGAAACACAAGAAAGGATTACCATGACTCCTGAGCGCACAACTGGCTGTGTCATTCTACTCACCATGCCACCCACAGACATGCAACAGTCTGAAACATAAACTCAAGTTTCACAATATGACATGCTTCCACAGGACAAAACAACCCACTCTAGTGCATACGTCACAATGTACAGATAAACAAAACATTTTATCATTACAGATGGAACTTATTAGTACAAATTATTGCAAGTATACTGTGCAAACATTTGTAGCAATGAAATAGTAACTAAATTCGTATTACCATATAACTTCTGTAACTTGGAAGTTTTATAAAAAGACAAAAAAAAAATAGCAGATTTTTCTCAAAGGTCTTTTAATGTGAAATCATCACACTTTAAATTTAATGTAATGTCTATAAAATACACTACTACAAAAAGTAGGGCACAACAGAAAGCTCTTTAATCCAACAGCCATGGGAGGACGGGGGGCAAAGGGGTCAGAGTGAAGATCCGGGTAAAGACAGCTGTTGGAACAAGACTCACATCAACAGCAGTCGGCAGAATTGAACAAGCTGAGACAATCCAGCAGCTGTTGTTTAAGTACCCAAGGTTTTAATGAGGCCCGTCTCACGTAAACACCACACTGAAGATTACTACACTGGCATCTCACCCACTGGAGCACAATGGTGCCATTGCATTTGTTTTTACCATAAGCACGTAAACAATGACTGGGCAACTTCGGTCAGAGTACAGCACGACGCAACCCGGATTAAAATAATGGAAAGCCGAAGGCCATTGATAAGCAGTATTGGATAAATTCATCAAGCCTTTCACTAATCCAATACATTAACAAACTTAGGCCAACTTTCAAAAGTTCTCATATACAATGATTTGACTTAAATATTGATTATATACCGGTAATCTTTACTCACTTGGACACACTCTTCAAACTACTGCATGAGAAAGGTTACCAGTGTCGTACATTTCTAAGTTTCAAGCAGGCCAGGAGTACTTTGTTAGATTTCTTAATTAGTCTTGATCTCACAACGGCTCCTTCACAGCAGCACTGGATTTCCAAACTCACATGACAGGCTTTATGGATTGCTGAATGTCATCAATAATGCCAATAAGAGGTATAGGACGCCCTCTAGTGGCTACAGGCTGGACTGTAGCTGATGAATGGAAAATACTTAAAGGGGTCATATGATGCGATTTCAAGTTTTCCTAGGGGCGTTACATTTCCGATGAGTGCTTGCGGTGTTCGGCCAATCACAATGCACTGGGTCAGCTGGCCAATCAGAGCAGACTGCGCTTTTCGGAAGGAGGGACTTTGTAGAAAACGAAGCGTTTGAGAGAGGCGGGGCATAGAGGACCTACAATAATGTACAGTATTTGAAAAATAATGTGTTTTTTGAACATTAAAGCATGTCAACATATTCTGTTACACCAAATACACAAAATAATGATCTTTAAAAAAGCATCATATGACCCCTTTAAATTGTGTATGTGCACACAGCATATGCGTTCTTAAATACAAAAACAGCTTTAAAAATACACTCAGATGTGTGCCCCCTCAAATTTTTGAGTCAAGTACATTTTCAGTGCAACTACCAAAAAAAACTATTTGTATATTTGTTGTAGGTAGATTTGCTTTAAATTAAAATTCTGTCATAATCTGTCATGTTTTATCAAACTCATATGAATGCAAAAGGAATTATTAGTGAACGTAAAAGATGCTCTTTTCCTCAAAATGAAAAGAGGATGCATTAAATTGATCAAAAGTGCTTTTTCAATGTTACAAAACAAATTCAATTTTTTTCTCTTAAAAAATCCTGTAAAAAAAACTGTCTCATGGTTTCCACAAAAATATAAAATAGCTGTTTTCAACATTAATAATAAGAAATATTTTTGAGCACCAAATCGGCATATTAGAATAGCTTATGACCATGTGACACTAAAGACTGGAATAATGGCTGCTGAAAAATCAGCTTTGCCATCACAGGAATAAATTACGTTTTAAAATATATATATTTTTTTAATTAAACTTTTTTTTACTTGTAATAATAATAATTCACAATTTTACTTTATTTCTGATCAAATAAATGTAGCCTTGGTGAGCATAAGACACTCCTTTTTAAAAACATTTTAAAAAAACTACCGAATCCAAACTTCTATAGCTAAATGATTTGAATTGGTGTGCCTGCTCTAAATTTACCTGCTTGTCATACTCCTCCACAGAGAGGCTCCTGTAAGTAGGAAAATAAACATTAATGGGATCTACACTGGTGTGGACACCACATCAACATTTGTTTCTATTCTTATGAATAACAACAGTCACACATGTTAGAGTATTATGGTATGAAACAAACCCACACCTCTGGATCTGGAAAGAGCCACATCTCTCATCAGCTGTATCATCACGAAGAGAGACACACACATGGAGATGAGGCTGAACACCCGACAGGGACTAAGGAACACAAACCTGCATGGAAAAACAAACAAACAGGTTTCCCATCTTTAATCATGTGCACAGTTACAGTCAACCGACATCTAACTATCACTTTCGTATGTGTAGTGCTTGTTTTGTTTTTTTTAAGATAAAAGCTGGAAGATTATCTAAGATCTGTCATCATACCTTTAAAAACAACGCATGTGTTGTTATTATTTGTTTACAAGTTACCTCTTATGTAAAATCATATGCTTTGAGGGTGAAACTAATTCCCAATTGCAAACCAAATTACTATTTATACAGTCAAGTCAGTCAACCCAAATACAATATTTATCGACATGCCACATGATTTCTTTCAAACTGAATATAAGCCAAGAATACACTGACAACTTTTATGCATGCAGGGAAATTCTGAATTCAAATTGTAAAAGTTTGTCTGCAAAAATTTATTCATGTTATGCAAAAGAAACTATTTTCACCAGTACAAAAGGTCCAACACCTACTAATAGCAACACAACTGTAGTGAAGTCCAGTGCAACCACAGATACAGAGAAAATGGTTAAGGGAAAATGCCTTAGGGGCCAGTATACAAAAAAAAAACGTTAGGCCTGCTGATTTAATTAGGCACAGAAATGTAGTCCATTGGAAAGCGTTAAAGACTGACCGATATTTATTGTAAATAAATGTAACATTCCATTTAAACTCCAACATCAGTAAAAGAAAAGGTGATGTTTACATTCATAAATTCTGCATTCAACTGATGTAACGTTAATAAAAATATGCTGCGTCATGTATCTCACCAAAACGCTATGTTTGTAGTTGCGAAGAGAGCGGAAGTCCATAACGGTCTCTTCCAGTTAATCAGCTTTGATATACGACACAGAGGATAAGTGTCTGCAGGGTGTCGGACTCCCGAAGGTTGCTCTTCCTCTTTCTCTGCCATCTCTCTTCCACCTGAGTTGAGTGACTGGGAGGAAGTCTCGCCGACGCTCTTTCCCACCGGCTCCACCTCTGAAGCATCCAGGCTGTCGCATCCACCCTGATTAGCCATAGCAAACGACCGCGAGCCCGCTCCCCGCTCCTCACGCGCACTGCCACTCGTCTGCTGTTGTTTAGTCGCTGACGTCACTCAGAGGCAGCCCCGGGTTGCTGTTGGGAACACTGACGTCATCGTTCAGTCAGCTGCTCTGGGTTACCGGTGCATGCAGCTTATTGCTCGCAATTACAGCCAAATCAACGTTTTGTTTGATTTTAATTCATATCACAAGGAAATAATGCATAAATTTCTTCTAGTCTTCTTTTTCTTCTAGTTCATCATCTTCACTCTCAAGTTTTGAAAAATAGTTCTTCTTTAGCCTATATGCTTCTTTTCCAGCCATATGCAGATAATCTGATATTTCATTTCTTTTGAAGACAAAATATGAATAAGCTCAATACGCTTTTTATCCACTAGGGCGCAGTGAACATTATTGGTAGATTCAGCCACTTGCAGTGGAAATAAAGAAAGAAATAAAATAATATAAAAGTATAAAATTTAAAATGTTATTTAGGCATGAATATTTTTAACATCTCGAACGTTTTTCTGCTGTTTAAAGTTCTGTTGTTGTATAGCCAATAAGTAATTAATCCCTATGTCATTCGTTCAAATTAAAACATGATTGACAGCTGCTGACACTGGTGGATATCATATAAGACTTTATCCTGGCTCTAAGGTCAGAGCCAATAGTAACACTAATTATATCAATGTTTGATTGAAGGGTCTTGTTATGAAAATGTTATGAACATTATTACTGTACACAGAACCTAAGCAGCTGTCAGCTGATCAGTATATCTTAGTAAAAAGGATTTTTGTTTTAACACATATAATTTCTGACAGCCTTAAAGAAATACTTCCATATTAAGGCAAATTACATTAATTTTAGACTGTTGTGTTTTTGTGTTCACGGAAACATGGCTCAACAACAGCGTTCCTATATATATATTTATTATTATTATTATTATTATTATTATTTATTTTTATTTTATTTTATTTTTATATATTTTTTTACATGTTACCTTATTTGTATATTTGTATAGTTGTATTTTATATTTAATCTGTATTTATGTTCTACTGTTAGTGTTATCTGTATGCACCAAGGGTCTGAGAGTAACGCAATTTCAATTCTCTGTGTGTATGTGCTGTACATGTGGAAGAATTGACAATAAAGCAGACTTGACTTGACTTGACTTGATTAATAAGTATTAAAGCAATTATACTGTATATTGTTTTATCAGTAAGTTAATATCATTAGGATATCAAGTGTTAGGATTCCCCCTAACCACATTAACGATCTGTGAGATGAAGGAAGATTACAATTGCCCTCAAATAAATGCCAGTGTTGTGAAACTCCAAAGCAATACTTGTTTCCATTTGAAAACGGAAAAAATAACTTGCTGAGATATACAAACTTAGACCAAGTCTTATATTTTATTATATTTTCCCAGTTGATTGATTACATAAAGAACTGAAAACATTTAGCTATGCTTATGTTTATGCAAATTAGACATTATCTAATTAAATATGCACTAGTCTGCATAAATATCCAGAACAGAAACCTGAATATTGGATAAAGTCAGGTTCAAAATTTTTGTTTCATTTTGCTGACATATTGCAGTCAAAGGTTTTTACAGAGGGGATTCTGGATCTCTTTTTATCACTCTTAACAGCCAGAAAAACATTTTCACCATGCTTTTAGGAATAAAATGTTGTAGAAAATCAGATAATATATGAACAAATCCCACTGTTAAAACCTTTAGAATATAGATTGAAATAAAATTGTAAAGTCTGGTGTATGTAAGTGCAAATGAAGTGGAGATATCTGGCTCAGTGCAAGAGATTTTTATTTTTTTTTTTTTTTTTGAGAAAACAGTCTTTAAATATATCTACTGAAATCTACAGATGCAAACAGGTAAAGTGCAAAAAATAAATAAATGTAAAAAATAAAAATGTATTTTGAATGTTTTTTTCCCTCCGCTCTGAAACATCACATTATGAAAAGCCAAATAGACCAAAATCATAATCAATCGATGCACGTCCTGCCCTAAAATTATTTGAGCATGATATATAAAATGCATTATATTTGGAAATAAATACCAATCAGATGTAAGTAAATTCTCATTTTACATGGTAAAATCTCAGTAATACCTGCCTTTGAGAGACAGGCTCAGTGAACAGCAATGACCTAATTTTTTATGTTACACAGTGAACTGTGTACTTCTGAACTGGCTGGTATTCAAAATTACAGCTTGGAACAAGTTTTAAATACATTTAAAATATTTGATGTTGTATATTCTGAACGTAACATGATTTCAGACAAATATCATCTCTTTTTGTTTAAAATCATCTTGCAACAAGTGAGCAAAAACAGCGCTGTGCACCAGAAAGAAGTGTGGAGCCACTAATTGGACTGAATTTCAGTGGCAACAAAAGCCCTGGCTAGAAAATTCCAGCCCTGGTTTTACAGGGTCTGCTTTGTTGCTGCAGTGTTTGTTCTCTACTGCTGTGTTAACAGTTATCTTTTCGGTGGTGGCCTCTCCCCACCCTTCCACACAGTGCATGAAATGTTCCTCAGCACAAACCCGTCCAGAGCCACCGTGGCACAGTACAGGCAATGCTTCGTTCTGCACAGGACACCATCCAGACACCAGGAGTGGCCCAACAGCTGCCTCGCAACCATGTTCCCACACAGCTTTGACTACAACCAGCCGATGAGAAATCGTTGAGAAGAAGGAGACATGATGGGACAGTTCCCAGAGGATGTGGTGGGTGGCTCCACCACAGAGGATCTGGAATGCAAGATCTGCTACTGTGCTTACAGCCTGTCAAGTCGACGGCCCAAGGTCCTCGAGTGCTGCCATTGTCTTTGTGCCAAGTGCCTTGCAAAAATCCTTGATTTAGGTGAATCCTCTCCGAACGCAGTGGTCTGTCCATTCTGCCGCTACATCACAGACCTTCCCGGAGAAGATGTGGACAGTCTACCGGATGAGTATAACTTGGTGACGGCACTGCTGTCCATCCAGACACGGAAGCATCAGAACCTTTATGACAACCAAGGGGAGATTCTCCTCAGTCCCAGACACCTTAACTCCCTGGTGGGACACTCAGCCTCAGCTTCTCCCACCTCGATTCGTTCCAATTACGTGGTGATCACCATTATGGAGCCTCGACAGGAGTCTGTTATTCCAGCTTCGGGTAGGGATTACCGCTCTTCCAGTCAGGACTCCATGTCCTCCGTTACCCAGAGATGGACAGTGTGGAACTGTGCGGCCCTGCTGTGCCAGACTTCAGCACGCATCCTGGTCTGGCTGCTGGGGCTGCTATACTTCAGCTCGCTGCCTCTAGGTATCTATCTGCTAATCATGCAGAATACCACGATGGGGGTGTTGATGGTCAGTCTGGTACCTGTCAGTCTTCTAATCGTCATGGTGTAAGGCCTTTGCCAATGCCTGTGCCGTGAGTTTTGGGACTGTGTACCACCATAATGACCAAAGCAATAAGTGTAACTGTTATGTGTGGATACAATGATTGGATGTGCTAATGGTCCAGCCAGTTTATGGAAACTCGTAAATTTTCCAGTTTATTGGATAAACAATGTACACTGAACTGAAATACAAACAATAAAGGTTCACAGATATAATTTAGTAGGCTGTCATACAAATTAAAGTCATGTAAGTATACTTAAAAATAGTATCCACCTCAACAAATTATCCT